TGCTGTACTATATATAATATAGAAAATTTAAGTTTGAAGCTTAGGAGCATTTACTTAGAAACTAAATAAAAACTTTTCTCGAATAACTTATGTATATATATATATTATAGACAATTCAAGTTGGTTTAAAGCTTAAACAACTTTTATCGTTGAATAAGCTCAAGAAATTATAATATAACAACTATATACAAGGCCAATTAGTTAGGCACAGGAATTTGTTTTGCCATGCATGTCAATGCCATTTCAATAACAATATCACAATGATTGTTGGCTAAATTGAAATTGTAATTAAATACTTGCGTCACATGAATTGCGTTTATTCAAAGTCAATCAATCAATAATACAATGCTCATGTGATTGCAGTTTAACTCTGATATGCAAATTGAAGTTGCACTCAAATCAAATTATTTTGAAATACGTTTCGTTATTTATGCTAACTTGCATACAAATTGTGCACATTAATTACAAATTTCGAACCGATAAAAGGCTTAAAGTCAATTGATTATTTATACAAATGTTGGGAAGGGATGACTGCGGATTCTCGGCCCAAAAACTTGGCCTCAATGGGTTGTATATGAATTTCCACTTGTGTTCGGTTCAAATTTTTAATTCAATCACAATTTTAATTTCTACTAAGTTACTTCATAATAATCTTAAATTTTTATTTACTTGTATGCAAATATTTGAATTGATTTTAACTTTAGTTTGGTCCAAGTTGGTCTTTTTCATTTCGTGTTCGAATTAGTTTCAATATTAGTCAATTGTTGTTTCAATTTCAACTTCAGCCAGGTTGATGTTGTTTCAATTTCAACTCTCATATGATATCCTTGCTCTTTCGCCTTTTTGGTTTAATTTCAATTTTAGTTCAGCTGCTCGTTCAATATCAATTTCAATATGAATTGCTGTTTCGATTTGAACTTCAACTTCAATTCGCTTGCCGCTGTTTCAATGTCAGCTTCAATTTCAACAGTAATTTGCGCAATGGCCCATTAAACTGGTCGCCAGCAAACTTATGTATTCCGAAACAGTTCATAAATGATTAGAACTGTGGTAAGCACATACAACAATACAAAACAAAACACAGCACAGCACAACACAACAAAACACACACGCAATGGCAAAAAGTTGGGCGTTGGGCGGCATGGGTCAGGGGGCGTGTCAGGCAGTGTCACGGCGCCGACGTTGAGTGAGTGCAGCCATCAACTTTTCAACTTGTGCCTTTCGCCGAGGAGCACAGCGTGTGTGTGTGCGTTAGTGTACGTGTGTGTGTGTGTGTGTGTGTGTGTGTGTGTGCTGGTAATCATCGGTCGACACTAATGAGATTTTGTGGGTGTGCGGGAAAATGGCTTGGGCTAAGCAGAAGGAAACCTTCTTGTTGTAGTTGTTGCCGGTGGTGAATTGTTAACGGAAGCAAAGATTATAAAACCATTTTGAATACTATATGCAATGCAATTAGTGGAACGCGAAACGTGCCCCCTGCCACATGCAATGCAAATTTTGTACGCTTTACATCCTTGCTGTCAACGTGTCGTATGCGCGTTGAGGCATGCGAGTTGAGCTGTCGTCAGACTGGCCGCAACTACCAATAATATTGCGTGAGAAAAGTCAAGCCCAAATATGCCAAAGCGACAACAAGAGGCGTTCGCTACATCTACATTTGTTCTACATTATAAGCTTCTGTTTATGTGCCCGATAACGCTAGAACTCGTTACGGATACTCACTTGGATCACTTGATTTGATATGGCAACTCGCTGTTGCTGGATGGGGCTACTCACTATTTTTTCTCGTTGAGTCTACTCACTATGACAACTTGATGCCTCTCGCTAGGACGACTCGCTAGGACGACTCGCTAGGACGACTCGCTCTGGCTACTCGCTATGGATACTTGCTATTTCCGATTGCTATGGGTACTCGTTATTGCTATTCGCTATAGCTATGGCGATGGCCACTCGCTTTCTTCACGCTATAGCGACTCTCTATGGTTACTAGCTATGGCTACTCGTTATGGCTACTCGCTTCGCTCTCTTGCTAAGACTATTTGCTATGGCTACTCGCTGTTTTAGCTTCCCGTTATAGCTACTAGTTATGGCTACTCTCTCTCGGTCTCTCGCTAGAATGACTACTCGCTGTAGCTACTCGCTATGGTTATTCGCTATTGCTTCTTGCCATGGCTACTCGTTACGGCTACTCGCTATGACTTCTCGTTATGGCTACCTCCTTATGTCTCTTGATAGGACCACTCGCATTGGCTACTTACCTCGGCTTCTTGCTTGGACTCTTTGCAATACCTACTTGCCATGGCTACTCTTAGATGTATGTTTAACGAGAAGTTTTGTGAGTGTCCCGATGCGAACTCGCCAACTCAGTGATTAACAACGAACAAATAACTGTAAGCGGATCGCGTTCGTCAACAGCAAACACTTGCATTATGCATGCGTTTGTGCACAGGCTGTGAAAAGGTTCTGATTGCCCGTCCATCAACGCAATTATCGTTGTCAATTGCTATTTGGAATTGTTGTGAGGGTGTGTGTTGGTGTGTCTGTCGTTTGCCCCTTTGACAGTTTGGCTGTGTAATTTGCTGTTGCTGTAAGCCCAACTATCGATCCGAATTGACTCGACGCCCCATCGTCTCTTCGTCGTCCGCTCTCGAATGCTTGATGTGCGGCTATTGTTTCGCCTTCGGGGCCAGATGAGCAAAGCTATATGTAGGCTGTAGTTAAATGTTGGCCAAAATCCAACTAATTAGTAAGTCATAAGCGGGCGTAAGTGTCTAAATGGCTAAGCATAAGCCAGCGACAGCGGCGAGAACTTCTCGACCCTAGTGCCTTGACAACCTCGCCTCATGATTCTATCGCCGAATAACTCAATAACTGGACAATAAAACTTGGCATTGTGCAACTGGAGCTGTGACAGTGAAGAATTCTGAAGAGCTGCAAAAGAATTTGAGGCCGCCTCGTGCGAGCGACGACAACTCGTTGTGCCACACCACAAAAGAGTTTGCCAAAAAACTTTGCCATGTGCGTCAATAACAACAGGAGGCACAGAAAAGTTTTTGATATTTGCACGAGTCGAAAGCTATATACCCTTTTAATGTTCGCATTAGACTTGTGGGAACTTATCGAGTAACTGTTAAATTTACAAGCCATAATATTTTCAAGTTCTTGCATACGAGTTTTAAGAGTCAATTTAAGAGCTTTAAAGTTGTGACAGGAGCTTTAAACGCTTTAAAAGCTTTAATAAGCTGTTGTTAAAAAAAATTAATAAATATTTTATTTTTAACAATTAATTACCTTGCGAATTTAAAAAATAAACCAACTGCTCTGCTTTTTAGGGAGCTTTCAAATTTTTAATATGAATCAAGGAAGCTTTGTAAAAAACTTAAAGCTCTTAAGATTTTGAAATGTTTCTTAAGCTGTAGAGCTAAAGAAACAAATACTGTTTTGTCATTTAAGTTTGTTTAAGAATATGCGAAACGTTTTCGAATTGTAAAATAATTTGTCTATAGAGTGGAAAATGAATTAGTTTAAAATTGAACCAAATTGACTACTCAATGTTCTAAAACTTTTGCATTTGAATGAAACGATTAAGATATATCTAATAAAATGTGGAATATGTACTTGAAAAATCGGAAAAGGGAAGTGGAGAAATTGGTCTTTCTTATTGCCAAGTAAAACGAAAACTTAATTTCAGACAAGAATATCTGATTCTTGAAAGCTTTCTATGGAAGTGCACCGTTTGTTCCCTCAATACATGAACCCTAAAAGAAAGGGTATAAATAAGGTATTTTACTATTTCATTCCATTGGGTTTCTGTTCTCTAGAAGCTCTCATCTATGTGCATCCGATGCTCTAATAAAAAGTTTCTTATTGTTTCTTGTTTTTATACCGCCTGCAAAAAAACATGGTCGCAGTTTTGCCGCACAGCCAGCTTGCAACTTTAATGTCGTTCGCTGCTGTTGCACAAGTGTTTGGATTTAAGTGCAGCACCTTGTGCCACGCCTCCAGCTGACGCTGTCAGGTACTTTAGGGCGGCGACATGGCAACCAAACGGGCACCAAAAACAAAATAAAAAAAAAACCCAACGAGCCAACGAGTCGACTTTGCATGTGCAATGTCAAGGCTAAAGTCTATAGTGTTTTTTCCGGGCCCAAGCACATTTTCCCTTTGACCCCAACCGCTTCGCATTCTAATGCCATTTTCATATTTTTCGATCAATTGTTTTCGTCGTTGTTTATTATTCGGCCTGTGCCCCTTGGAAGCGAACTATCAAGGCTGAGTCCTTAATCGCAGCTGACAATCGGTGCGATAACGATAAAAGCCCCTTGGCAATATAAATAGTTGGCCATTGAATTTATCGGCTCTGCTAAGTAGCAGTTGCCTTCATTCAGTCTTTCGGCTTGAAGAGGCAATTTGTTGGCAAGCAAATATTTATAGCCTATTCTCTATTGAAGATGGCTGGACGGGCTATAAGAGCTTACTGCAAACGCAGCTAGCAGGCAGAGGAAAGCATGTTCGGCTTTTTTAGATATATATATATATATATTCTTGATCAGCACGACTAGCAAGAACTGTCGATCTGTATGAGCTTTTCGATCTGGGAAACTACAAAAGATACATTCTGCTTATACTTATGTATATAATGGGAGTAACATTAGTTATCGATATCTCGCTCCATTTCTAAAATATCGATCAAATGAAATTTGACGAACATATGTTATGCAACTTTAAATCATATATTCACTGAGGGTTACTGGGTATTTTGAAGTCGAGCAGACTCGCTTGCTTTTGGCTTTCTGCAATGAACCGATTAAAGCTCTTGCAATATATATCGATAACTACACTTAAGGGCAACGCATGCTGATCAGCAATGTGAGCATAATATATCGATTGCTTTACTATGGAGGGGTGGGGCGGTGGGTAATGGTACTGGTACTGGTACTGAGTGGGCGTGGCAGTGGCATGCCAATCAAGTGTCAAGCGGCTGGCGTGTTGATAATTACCTGTGTAACAGCAGAGGCAGCTAAGCAGACACAGGACGAACAGCAGCCACGATATGCCGCAGGCCGGCAGCGAGGCGTACAACGAGGCGCGGCTCATTCGCATTGTTGTTGTTGCTGCAGTTGTTCTTGTTCTTGTTGTTGCTGTTGTTGTTGTTGTTGTTGTGCAGCGTCGACGCCAGCTCGTGCTGCGCCCATTGATTGTTGTAATTGCTAGCGTTGCTGTCGTTGCTGCTGTTGCTGCTGTTGCTGATGTTGCTTTGATTGCTGCTGCTGCTGGCGGGTGCCACGTTTCTGCTCTTGGCCGCCCAGTGGAGCCCTTTGTCATTGTCAGGCGTTAATTTTGAACTTGGCGAGTGCTGCTGCTGCTGCTGCTGCTGGTGCCGCTACTGCAGCGCCTCCTTCTTAGCGGGCTGGGCTTTCAGCTGGTCCTACTCGTCCTTGCAGCTGTTGTTGTGTTTTGTTGTTGTTGTTATTGTTCCGTCACACTGTGCGAGTAGCTGCAGAAAGTTAAACATAGTTAAGTTGATTGGCATAGAGACAGGCTGCGCTCAGCCATCGTTTGGCCCTCAAATTGTTTACACTCAACGAAAAAATCAGGGCAAAAAGAAGAACATTTACAAAAAAGTGAAAAGCAAAATGATTCATATGCAGCCAGAGCCTCTCTTGTGTAAGCCAAACTATTTTTAGCTACTTTTCGATTTAAACATTCAGTTCAGCTTTTTCACAGAATTAACCGCAATTACTCTTTTCGCTGAGTGTAATAAGCGGCTCACAGTGACTGCACTAAGTATCTCAAAGATGCTTAAATGGAGTGCATGCCAAAGAAATATGTTTGCTCTAAATGGCAGACAACATGGCGTGTACGTAATATGCCGGCTGAATTGAAGCTTAGCATGTAAGTGAGTTTATTCATGAGCGTGAAGTATGCGTGATATATTCAAAGTACGTGGTTGTTAGTCAGTTATATCGTAAAAGATTCAAGCTATGCTCGCAGACAGCGGTCGCTGCTGGACATTTAACTGCCCAGCGGTGAGTGAGTGTATTCATGAGTCTGATTGAAATGTTTATTAGCTTTACTTGCTAGAACATTTCTGATTAAAACTAAAATCAAAAGTTACCAGACAATATTTTTGGTTTAATAGCTACACGTGAATCAATCGCTGCTAAAATATGAGTGTATTCATGAGTCCGCATGAAGCTTTCAATTTTTATGGACCATTATATGCTGAATAAGGATTATATATACTGTGTATATAACCAATTCATTCAAGGACACTCGCTCGTCAATTTTTGACTGTCAAAGGAGCGTGAATAATATTTGGCATCCTGAAATATTTATAGACTCTCGTTGTTAGTCAACTTTTTGATAAATAATAAGCTGCATATATAGAAATAATGCCCGAAGGACACTCGCTATTGAGTGAGTGTAAGTGAGTGCAGTTAAATTCGTCACTCAGCTAGTTGATGAATAAGAATCAGAGCATAATGAATGTATTATTAAATACGTATGCATTCATTCAAGCATTCGTTGGCACACTCGTTATTTCGCTTAAGTCAAAATCTCTCGTTATAAAGTAAACATTTTCTTTGGTAATAATTAAGCGTGCAAATTTCGAGAGATACAATTCAATTGAATTCGATTGTTTATTTACTCGCTGGAGTGGCACTCGCTACTTGTTTACTCGTTGCTTTCTGCATTTTGCCGCAGTGTGTCGACAGTTGACAGAAGAGTATTGCCGATTCTCACACTCATTTGGCTTTCGGTCTCGCTCTCGCCTTAGGCCTCTTGGACTGTGCTTGTGTGGTGTGTTTGTGTGTGTTACATGCATTTTGCAGCGCGTGCCAATGTGGCCCAAAGGCGAATCAGCTGTTCCGTGTGCTGCTGCTGCCAGCGCTTTTGGCAGCGGCGTCCGCGTCAGCATCGGCCTCGCATGTTTACAACATTTTTGCAGCGCCCCAAAGGGGTGCCTGTGCAAGGGGCGGCAAGTATTGTGGTTGGGGGATGGGGAATGGGGAATGGGGATGGGGATGGGTGCGAAATGCGGGTGCGGGTGCGGCTGTGGCTGCGGGCCAAGCATTTCGGCATTTCGCTTGTCCCATGCAGTCGGCAGTTGGGGCAGCTGCCAAGAAATTGTTTGCGCTGTCTTCTTTTTGGCTCTTGCGGCTGCTTTCTAGGCATGCGAGACACACACACACACACACACACACACAGACAGGCATACAGTTACACGTACATACACATAGAAAGCGCTTTTTGGTGTCTTTAATTTCAATCTTATAAATTATTCGCATAGCTCGACTGCGACGAGTTTCACAGCGCGCTTTATGGATTTTCTTTGGCTCTGGCCACACACACACACACACACACACACATACACACACACACACAGACACACACATACACGCACATACACTCGGCACGCGCATTGATTTTCTCTTATTTCCCATTTTTTATTTGTTGTTGTTGTTTTCTTGGCCTGTTTTAGGACATTTCAAGGCCTCTCTTCTACTTACATCTCACGTAAATGTTTTTCACTTTGACACCAAATTTCGCACGCGAGCACTAAAAATACTTTAAGCAACAGCAATAATAACAACATGAACTAAGAGCGACAGCAACAACAACAACAACAAGAATACAAAAACAAAAAAAAGAAACGCCGAAAAACATATATATATATATATACATATATATATAGATGTTTACACACACACAGACACACACAGACACGCACACATGAAAACAAAACAAAAAGCACACAACACAAATTTCGCTTCCACCTTCCACACACGCGCCCCACAACGCACGTTGCCGACAAAATGGCGAGTGGAACGGAATGAAGCGAATGGAGCGAGAATGTGAGCGCGGCCAACGCAGCAGCAACAATAGCAGCAACTGGCGTTAAATGACAACAACAACAATGACTGGCACAGCAACTGTTGTAAGCACAACAACAACAACAACAACAACAACCACAACAACAGCAACAACAAGCCTTGGCGCCTCACACTGCAGCGCGTCCTTTTTAACGACTTTTGTTGCTTTTGTTTGGGCGTATTGCTTTCGATTTTATTGTTGCTGCCGCTACAAATACTGCTACTGCTACTGCTACTGGTACTGCTGCTGCTACTGCTACTGCGAAATGTAAACTTAGCGTCCACAACGAACCGAGCTGAGTGCCGAGTCGAGCGTCGCCAGCAACTGCAGCGTCGCGTTTGTAAATGTCAACTGAAATGGCGTTTGCGGCTGCGATGCCAACGCCAACTTGTGCGTTGCGACTGTCAAACATGTTCGCCTGCGACATGTTGCAATGGCGCGTGAGCGAATGCATTTGCCATATAAAAAATGGTATCAATTTGAACATATTACTCATCGATCGCATATTTTGTTACCTTTTCATATTTTCTTTTAGATATTTGGGCACATATTTATTTGAAGTTAGTTATTTTTTAGCAACATAAGTATCAAATGTCGTGTCACGCACGCGGCTCGAACACACAAATTCTTCAAACCGGAAGTGCAACATGTTGCAAGAGCTTGACGAACAAAGCCTAGAAAACTATGGCTGATGGGTTGTGGAGCTGGCAAAGCTGCTGCCGCTTTCGGCTCTAAGAAATAGCTAAGAGCCTAGAAGGTTTCATAGAACGGCAATTGTAAGCTTCCAAATCATTTGAGCGATTTGAGTAAAAGTCTTTAAAGCTTTTAGCTTGTGCTACGACAAAAAGCTTTCGTTTGTCCTGGTTATGTTTCGTGTTGCTTAAGATGAAAACCTTTGAAAAGCTCTAAAATAGCATATGATAGATCGAAGGCAAGGACAATTATTAAGCTTACAAAAAAATGCGTTCTCTTACGTCTTAACAGGGGCTCGAACCGAAAACTTTACGCATGGAAATTGAAATTTAAATTTAAGTTTAAAGTAATCTTTGTTTTTTATTTTTAGTAAAAAGGATAAGAAAGTTAAATAAACTAATCTTAAAATTGATAGTTGCTGCTGTGCTTGAACTGGCGACTTCACATTTGTTAGTTCGACGCTCAGATAAATCAGTTAAAAATTGTTTTATAAATATTGTAGAATAGAATAATGATTCCAACAAGTTTTGTAAATTGAAGGGTCTGAATCCTTTTGGCCACGTTAAAACCTGTAAAGCAAATATACCTTTATAAAAAAGAACTATAGATATAGCCATAGCTTTTGGAATTAGTTTGGAAATTATTTTATTTCAATATATTTCATATTTATCAATAGTTCATATTTTCTGCTCTTCATGTTTTAAACTTTTACACAAAAATACGTGTATGTGTTTGTGTGTGTGTGTGTGTGTTAGTGTGTGTGTGTGTGTGTGTGTGTGTGAATGTGTTCTGTCTGTGTAAGTGAATGAGTGCTGCGAGTACTCGTTTGCAATTTGAATATGCCATAGAGTGTGACAGTTTGTACTCGTACTCGGACTCGTACTCGCTTGCACTTGCCCAAATATCTGTGTTGGACATAACTTGAATGTAAAATGCAATTTTTCATTTTGAATATTTTCATTTAAATGCATTTCAGAAAAGTTTCAGTATTATTTTAGTATGTTTCTTGTTGTTGTTGCTTTGTTTTTTGTTTGCTTTTGTTTTTCAATATTCATTTGTTTGGTTGTTAGTTTTTCACTCTGGTGTATTTTTTAGTTTTGCTGCTTGTTGGTAGGAGTTTTTGTTATTTGTATCAAGGATATCAAGTAAATATTTTGCATACTATGATCATTTTTGTGCTCTTCTTCTTTTTGCTGGTATATACCAGCGCTTGCGAATCGCTCTCAAAATGGTGGACACAACTTGTCCACCCCACAGTGTGTCTCGTTCGAATTCGTACATAGATACATACATATACATATATATTTATTTAATGGTTGCGCAAAGTACTTAAACATTTTTGTGAATGCATTTAACTTTATTCATTGTACACATAGATTTCATTTTTATCTTTGGTATTTGATCATCATAATAATATATACTTGTGTTCATTTTGAATGATTCTTTGGGTTCGATTTTGTAACAAGTCATACTTGTTGTGTGTGTGTGTGTGTGTGTGTTTGTGTGTGAGTTTCTTTCTTTTCGAAGGTTTCTTTTATGTTGCTTATCTCCGGCTTTCACTTCCTCTTATACTTCTTCTTCTTCGCCTTCTGCTTTTCTTTCTATCTTTGTGGGTGCTGTACTCATGCCGCTTGTAAATAGTTTCCAACTGCATTTATGTTCTTAGTATTTTTTTCTTTGCTTAGTAAATGTATTTTTTGTATTTTTCTTTATGGTAAATTGGGGGAAAAAAAAGATGTATGCATATACATATACATACATATACACATATATATATTTGTATTATTTTGGTATTTTTTGATATTTGATATTTTACACTTAATCTTTGCTGCTGCTAATATATTTGCCACTTATACAACACATTGTGCACAAAGAGTTTTAGTATTTTTCTTGTATATATGCTGAATTAAGTATTTATTTATATGTACGTATGTCTGTGTCTGTCTGTCTGTCTGTGTGTGTGTGTGTGTGTTTGTATATGTGTGTGTGTGTGTGTGTGTGTTGAATAGTCGTTTATATTTTATGTAGTAATAGTAGTTTTCCTACCAGTCGCGCTAGTTGCTGCCACTTTTGTATAAGTATTCCATATAATTGATTTCATATCATTTTCTTTTTCTTTTTTTTTTATATATTTTATATATATATATATATATACATATATATATATTTATATATATATATATATATATATATATTTTTTTTTTTTCAACAATTTCTTAAGTTTTGCTTAGCGAATCTCAATGTATTTTTTTGGTTTGCTTTCATAAATTTTGCTTAAAAATAACAACTATTTTTCTTTTAGTATATATATATTTATTTACTTTGCTCTTTTCTTTAATATATGGTTTATAGATTTGTTTCATTGACATCAATTTTTGAAAATACTAAGAGCATTTGAGTTCTTCTGACACTCTTTCGAAAACAACATTTAGCTTTTGAGTTTGGTTTCTGCCAAGTAGTTCGTTATCCATTGAAGGAAGCGGCTTGCAGTACTCCGATTTCAATATTTTTAGTTACAGTCCTACATAATGTTTAAGGACTCATAATATATTTAATTTGTTTTCATTTTGTTCGAACTTCTTAACTGGTTATGTGTTTGTGTGTGGGCCTTGAAAGTGAGAGAGATAGATAGAGAGAGAGAGAGAGAGAGAGAGAGAGAGAGAGAGAGAGAGAGAGAGGGAGAGAGAACAGCTAAGCTTCGGCCTGCCGAAGAATGCTTTGCTAACATGAGTACTTATGAGTAGTACTCACTTAAGTACTCATACTCATACTCTATTTAAAATTTGCATTAAAGTTTCGGTTCATCCTTTGTCCCCATTGTATAATAAAATGTAGTCTTCGTTTTTGTTTTTGAATTAAAGGCTTTTGGTTTTAAAGTTCAGGAGGGTCTCTAGTATTTAGTATATACATATATGTATGTATAAATATATGGTATAGTATGTATGTATGTATAGTATGTATATAGTACTTACTATATAGTCTATGCACTTAAACGTACTTCGCTAAGAGCTCTTAAGCCGTTGAGTGCAGTGTGTGTGAGAAAGATAGAGAGAGAGAGAGAGAGAGAGAGAGAGAGAGAGAGCGAGAGAGATAGCGGGAGATAAGTCAAAGGAAGGGCATTTTTAATTCGGCATATCGAATGTAAGTATTCGATTGTGTCTCAGGCAATAATTGTTACAATTCTCTAGCTGAATTTCTATGTCTCGATAACAATGAATAAGCTTGGAAAAAGCGCTCTGATGCACTACTGTGGTCCGTTATCGGTGGTTGTTGAGACGCCTTGAGGTTTTTCATTGAGAGGGGGGATTATATTTTGTCAATTTGCCCGATATTTGAACTGGTGTGTAGTATCTATAGGGAGAGCGGGGCCTGTTGGAGCTGTGTTTGTGGCATGGAAACCGTTTTGAAAGTTCTTTATGCTACCGCTTCTGTTGTAAGATACGTAGAAAAGTATAAAGTAGGTGCCTGGGCCTTCTGCTCGATACACGATAAACGATATATATACGATAACGATAAACGATATACGCTCGTTAGCATTGGGCTTCAGCTAGCTGTGCTGTAAATAGTCGACAGGTAGTTGTGGTTCAGATCGTGGTTTATCGTGTTCAACTTTCTCATAGGATTCTTTTTTTAATAATTTGTTTTGTTTTTTTTTTTTTTTCATTTCCTTCGTAGGTAACATTTAACTATTTTATTTATCGTATAAGTATCGGAAACAATTAATATATCTATGTATATATGATGCATGCTGCTATTTCGGTATATTTTCTGTGTGTTTGTGAGTGTGGTTTTCAGAGAATTTTTGTTTGGTCCAAATTGCTAATGCTTTAACATCTTGCTGCTTAACATTTCGTAACCGTCTATAAACAAACATTTGTTCAGACCGGAATCTTTAACGCAAGGCCTGAGCCCACGTATAATATTCAACTTTCTTTACTTCTCCTTTTCCACTGATATTTAAAACATTTTTGCACTTTGTTGGGTTTTGCCTGTTAAATAACAATCGTATTTTTTAGTTCTTTTGTTTTTTTTTTTTTTTGCTGAGGGGTAGCTTCTAAAGGGGAAGCGTGTTGTTCTTTAATTGACTGCCAAAATGTAGACTAATATTTAAATTGTACATCGAAAAGAATTTTTTTGTTTTGTTTTTCATAGTTTTTGTCGTCTAGACTAATTAAATTATGCTTAAAATTGTTTCAATTAGTTGGTTTGTTTTTGTTTTTCTCAATAAATTTTTATACATTTGTAAAACACCTAGAACTTTTGTTGTTTAGTTTACTTTTAAATACATAGTTTTAGCTTTAGCTTTAGTTTTGTTTTGTTTCATTCTTTTTTTTTAGTTGGTTTTGTTGGAAAGGTTTGTAAATTCAAGTATTAGTCTTTATGTTATTCATTAAACAAGGGAAGTTGTGGCATTTGCAATGGGCACGAACAAAATACACAAATACATACATAACTATATACACATGGCGAGAGTTTTCACACGCACACGCCTCACGTACGACCAAGCGCGTGCTGCAACGCATTGGCTGCCCGAGGGCTGCACCAATACATATGCAAGCTATGTGCTGTGTTAGTCGTTAGGCAACAGCTGCAAAATATTCCATGTGCTGGCTTTTGTAAGCGATTTGAATAGTTATATTTCTTTTAGATTTGACTTATTTAACTAAATACGCCTAAGAGTTAGGACATTATAGTATTTATAACTGTGTCTCTTTGCACGTAGTTTCAATCGTATGCACATACATCTGCACATATATACATATATATATATATATAAGTTATATGTGTGTGGGCGTAACTTTAGTTAGAATCCTAGTCTAACTACAAAAAAAATGGACATCGACATCAAATTTTTGTTTTCTTTGATTTTTTAGATGATGTTGTTGTGTAGTTATTTGACAGACATATTTGTGTTAGCCCAATTGAGTTTTGGTCTCAGTTTTTGTTTTTGTTTTCAGAGTTGTTTAAGCCAATTTTTAAATTTGTTTTTTTTATTTTTTTTTTTGGTTTTCGTCTTTCAACAACAACAAAAACAACAGCAACAACGACAACGATGACGACACTTAACTAACTTTAATAAAAAAAAAAGACTATTTCAATTACATTAAACATACACAAATACATACATATGGTTTATTTCTGATTATATATATTTGCATATTCTGTTAGACATTTAAAACTTTTAAATTTTTGCACAGATTTTCATACATTTTTCCAGCTCATTTCTTCAAACTGCTTTTTTCTTCTTTTGCTTTCGCATATATTTAATTTTGTAGTACTTTATTCATATTTGGTTTGTTTAATATTTAACTATTAAAAAGGAATAGTTTCAAGTTGAAAAAAAAAAAATATGTAGGATATTTCTATAGAATAGCAATTACACTTACGGTTATTTTTACTTTCTGTATGTATGTGTGTGTGTGTGTGTGTGGGCCAAGTACCAGCTTGGTTTTAAAAACATTCCCTTCATTTTTTTAAATATGTTTTTTATTTTTATTTTATCTTTCTACAATCCCCTGGCCGTTTGCCACTGCGTGACGCGGGCGCTAAAAAGTATGCAACGCTTTTTAATTGTCCTTTACATATGCACACATGCGTGTGTCTGGCTGTGTGTGTGTGTGTGTGTGTGTGTGTTGGATTGTGTGTGGTACATTTAACATAATTACATACAGCAATTTACATTGATATTTGGTTTTTTTTCATTGATTTTTATTTATGTTTTTTCTTTTTTGGACTTGAATGCAACAATTTTGTTTTTTTCACGTTTTTCATTTGCTTTTTCATCCTGTTCGGGATATGTTGTCATATTTTCTTTGTCAATTTCCGTTAGTTTTCCTTGCTTTCCATTGAAATGTTTATTTAGCTGCCCTTTTGAGTTGTTTCACTTGCTTTTCTTATGTCTGGGTTAGTAAGAGCTCGCGGCTTCATTGCCATCGTACCGGAAATGCACATCTCACAGCGCCAAAAGCTATGCGTGCGAGTGTGTGCGTGTGTGTGTGTCTGTGTGCAAGAGGCATCTTTTGCTTTACATTTGATTACTAGGAATGTAACTGTGTGTCGATATATGGAAAAGCAAGCCTTTGGCTTATGTTCTCGGAAGTCATGTCTATCAATCGCTTGAAAAGGTATTCTTTAATTTCAGAATTTAAAATATGAGGATGAAAATTTGCATGACACCGTCTCTTAGAATCACTTCAATCGCATACATGAGTGCTCGAAAGATTTTAACTTCATTTGTATAATTCTAGACACAAAATGTATTTCCCTATAATATTTTCGAAGAGCATGTGACCATGGAGGAACATATAAATGTGACTATGGAGGAACTGATAAGAGAGGAAAATTGTAAAAAAAAAGATCGAAAACTCATAGAAAATAAAAAGAAAAATATATAAATACTAATTCATAAAACATACACAAAGAACCTGTTTGTTGTCCAATTGGTTGTCCCAAAGTCTTTTGATATCCAAGATATCGACCCAAAATCAATATTTATCGATTTCAGAGTTAGATTTATGATTTGAAGTAAGCTGGATCGGAGCATGCAATACCTACATTCTAGATCGACCTGTCTGTATTTATATGTATATATATATACATACTTTTAATGTGTGAAGAGTCGAAGCTTAAATGAAGAAAACATTGTTAAGAGAACAACAACTCGAACTAAGACCCCGCCCCATTAGGCATTCAGCATAGAATAGCTGAACAAAGTTCTACGAATGCCATAATTAGTATCGATATCGATATACAATCGATATTTGCACGCAGCTCGGCAATCAGGGGATATCCGTAACTGATAATTGAGTCACAGCAAGAGGTCAACATTATTATATAATTGGCCCATGGGCTGCTGGCCATTGCCGTTGCGCTGGCAACCTGTGCGAGCGGCCAGCTGCTATTGGGTTTCCATTTCAAAATTTGCTGATAAACAAACATGTGGCAAATAAGCACTAGAGCCTGCGGCCAGGCACGAGCAGCAGTTGCGGCTATTCGATTGTCGAGCGATTCGCTGAAGTATAATTGCGTGCCACAAGCAGCAACAGCAACAGCAGCTGCAGCCAAATCGAATTTTGCCACACGATGACTTTCAATACCGTCGCAGCCAAAATCAGCAGCAATTGCTGGTGCTGCAAATGGAACTGCAGCGGCAACTGCAGTGGCAGTTCACTGGGGCGCGCGACACAGTGCACCACAATATACCCACATGGTGCGCCCGAAAAACCACGTACAGGCAAATGGAATTAGGCGGACACGGACGATGGTTGGCCAAATGGGTGGCATGCAACTTGTGGAATGGACGAGTCGACATATGTAGATATGCGAACGGACTTTGTTCGTTGCGCAGTTGCGTATGCAAATTGCAAACTGAAATTTTTTTGTTTTGTGCAATTGAACGCGAACGCAGCCAACTGGGCCGTGGCATGCAACCTGGCCAAAATGTGCAGCGGACAACGTGTGCAGCCAGGGGTGAGCATGGTCACGGCCATTTGTCGTAGAAGACTTTGTTAATCAGTTTGCCAAATGCCCAGCTGCAGCTGGACACACGCTTGTGGCATATTGCAGTCATGTGGCAACTGAATGAAAACCCTGAAAACAGGTAGAAAACAGTATTAGAGCTTCATATTCGTATTAGGTACACACAACAGGTATATATATATATATATGTATGTATGTATATATAAATACGAGAAAAGTAAGAAATAAAAATACGCAAGCGTTTAAATAAACATATTGTATATAATATTATATAATATTTAATAGGTATATATTTTTAAAACATAAGCATAATCAAATAATTAATTATAATTATTATATTGTCAAAATAAATTGAGTTTTGCGTGTGTGTGCGTGTATGTTTGTGATTTTTGTAATTGTTTTAAAATAGTTGACAGACCAAAAAATGATAAAAAAAAAAATATATTTAACTTGCATTAGAATTGTTAAAATTTAAAACATTGGGCGCGCATCGGATGTGATTGGAGTTTTGTGATTATTGACGTGTTATCGATAACAGCTTGGTTGATAAATGATAATTGCTTAACGAATATCGGTATATTGTTATCGATATCGATGGGCGTTAGATGGAAGGGCTGTTGATAAACAATTATTGATCGACCATTACTGGTGTACTATCGATACTTAAAGTGTTATCGATAATATATTATCGAGCAACTACAATCAATAAATTATGTATGTTTTTGCGATAGGCAGCTAGCAACCCTCTAACGATGAATGATTGTCGATAAATGATTATGTCGTGATGTCGTCAAAAGACGATAAATTGTTGTTGCTGGATTATCGATGGATGTCAAACGTTAATGTAATTATGCTGACGATAAGCAATAGATGATGCATGCTATTGGCCAACAATTACCGATAAACTAAACTCAATAAATTATTACTCATGTGGGTTGAGATGGGCGATTAGTGGCATGGTATCGATAAACGATTATTGATAGCAATGGCAATGTGTGTGATTCGTTTTCGTTTCTGTTTCCGTTTCCGTTTCCGTTTCAGCTAACTATATTTGGCGTTTCCTTCTTACACATTCTCCGGCTCGGGCAACTTCCGCTCACAGCAATGGCAGACGAGCGCATTGAGCCGATGGCCAATGGCCGACCACACGGTCATCGTCATCGATGATACCTCGCAACTGGAGCTGTCCTGGTGCAGTGCATCCGCCTCACTGCTGCCGTCCGCGTCATCGCTATCATTGGCAATCGCCTCCGCTTCGGCCGTGTGGAATGCCGCCTGATTGCAGAGCGAATTATTTGTATTTGAGTTTGTCGTATCGGAGCTCCCCTGTTGTCAAATCTTTGGCACCGCCTCCGACGAGGAGCCACTGGCCAAGCCCAGCTCACAGCTAATGCTAGGCGGCAAAAGTCTTGGCGGCTCGATGACTACGCTACCAGCATCACCAGCACCACCAGCACCACCACCACCAGCAGCATAAACAGCACCAGCTGCATACTCAATGCCGCCATCCTCAGCGCCGCCAATCTGTATGCGTACGCCGGACAGTTCGCCGATGATGCCGCTGCTGCTGTGGAGCGTGTTGTTGCTGTTGTTGCTGTTGTTGTGCTCGTCGTGACGCGACGATATGCGGCTGCTGCTGTCAGCGGATGAGTAGCGTGTTGCGGCATGACGGCTGCAGGGCACGTCCAAGCTGTAGGCCCGATGCCTGGTGAGGCCAACCGCCATGCCTGGAACGACAACCTGGACGCCTGGCGACGGCAGGCTATTCGAAATGGTGCAACAGGTGGCCGCCACTTGCACTTTGTCGGCGCTGTTGTTGTCGGTGCTGTTGCTGCTGCTGTCGTTGGCCGGCGCATTGTTGTTGCCGCGCACGGCGCAAGGGCTGCTGCGTGTGCTGCCAAAGCGCTTGTTGCCCTTGTCAAAGCTGAAGGTGAAGTAATCCGAGAACTGACGCAAACGCGACTTCCACGAGCTGCTGCTGTTGCTGCCCCCGGGCTGCTGCTGCTGTTGTTGCTGCTGCTGCTGCTGCTGCTGCTGTTGCTGCTGTTGCTGCTGCTCGTCGGCAACAGTTGCAGTTGCGGCGCTACCATTGCTGGGTAGCGTTTGGTTGAGCGTCGGCGATATGTTGCCATTAGTGGTAGCTGCAGCAACAGTAGCTGCTGTTGCAGCTGCTGTAGCTGGCAACTTATCCTTCTCCTTCTTCTTCTCCTGCTGCTGCTGCTGCTGCTGCTGCTGCTGCAGCTGCTGTGCAGTGGGCAGCAACGACTGCTGCAAGAGGGGCTGCTGCATCACTGGTGCAACTGGCGCCTGGTTGTTGCTAGTGTTCATGTTGAGGTCCTCGCTGGCACGTCCAGCGCCCCGCTGAGCCAGCTGCTGCTCCAGGCTGTTGCGATTGTGGCGCCCATAAAATACATTGCTGTCAGAGATGACCTGGGGCAGGCCATCGGACAGACGACGATTATTGGTGCTGTACTGGTCGAGGCTGACGGCGCGATTGCTGCCAAATTGACAGCGATTGCCATGATAGCCATGGATGTTGCCATAGGAGTTGCGCATGCGCTGGCCACCGCCGCTGCTGCACAGTTCGCCAATCATCGAGGGACGCTTCTCGCGCGAGGATTTGCGCGAGGTGGAGTGCGAGGATTTGCTGCGATTGCTGCAGCCCTCAGTGTCCACTTTGAATTTGGAGGTCTTCTCGGCCACCTGCATTAGGTGAAATGTTTGATTAGACTGAGGCTCGGCCTTTCGCCAGCTCGTTGGCCCACTTACATCCACCTCGGTGGCCGTTTCAGAGTCGCCACTTTCGCTGCCCTCGGGCAGATCGTGCAGCTCGGCGGCCATGCCGCCTGGCTCATCCACAGATGTGCGCGATGCGGACTTCTGTGAGGGTATGCTGCGGCGCGACTTGACGCTGATTCCGGACCCGGATCGTGGCATTTGGGGGGAGCTGCTACCGCCTCCACCTCCGCCTCCACCGCCAGCGGCGCCAGAACCAGCACCACCCACGCCAGAAGCTGGGCCTGTCCCCTGTTTGTCCATCAATAATTTATCGGCCGTGCTGTTGCCCGGCGTGCTGACCATGGCCGCATTCGAGTCCATGTTGCCGCTGTTGCTATCGGATGTGGCCGAGGCGTTGCTGTCTGCCACGGATTTGCGCGTCTTAGTCTGCGCATCGTTGAGTCGCCTGGGTGCGTATTTGGTGGCCACAGAATAAGGTTTAACTAGCTCTACTACTATGGAGATCTACCCCAGCTCCATTCCCAACTCACCTGTAATACTCCAGTGCAATGCGCACGGGTATGATAATCAGCTCTGTGAGCTCCGGCACCAGTTCGCCTAGCGCCTCAAAGAGCGGCAATAGGACGAGCCCAATGAAGCGCACCTGGGAGCCGGGCTTGCTCACCTTATCGGGATCCATGAACGGCGTCACCGGCAGACCCTCGGACTTTTCGGCGGCGCTCTGTGCAAAGAACTCTTGGAGCAAGCGATCCAGCCAGGGCTCAGCCACGTCCATGGGCCGTGCCTCGTTCGAGATGTCCGCCACCTTGATGAGTATCATGCACAGCTGCAAAAGATCAAGAATAAGACGTACCTAAAGCTTACGGGCCTCCTCTCCCGCTTACCAGATTGATGTGCGCACGATTGTTGTAGTCGAAGATGGGCGTTATCTCCATAAACTGCGTGAGGATCTCGTTGTGGCGCGCCATATCGGTGGCCAGGATGCAGCGGATGATGCCCTCCCGTATGGTGCTGTAGTTGAAGGCGAAATTTACATTTAAATTGAGATAACGTGCCAATCGAAATTGTTTCCCCATCAACTGGCAAAGACTAACTGGGTGGCGCTTTTACTGAACGCTTCCAAAAAAAAAATAATAAAGAAGAGCTTGCAATTTGACATTCTGAGTAATTTCTTTCTCTCTTCCGAGCTGCCCAGCATTCAGATTTGGTGTCTCTAGCTCTCATAAGCTTCACGATATGCTCTAAACACCTTGTCTCAAAATCAATATTTACTCTTCTGGGATTTTAATTTCAATTCCAATTTCCAATTTCATAAAATTGTGAACTTGAATTGAAATGCATTCAGTTTAAACTAAGAAGTTTTGAGATATGCTTATACCTTGTTTAAATATTAACATATATCGATATACAAAGCGTTGGGGAAGAGATTTTAGTTTTAGTTTTAGATTTAATTTTAGTTTAATTTAAATGCAAACATTATTATAGCGTAAACTAAGAAGCTACAAGATATCCATAAAACACCTTGCCACACAATCGATATTAATCGATACCTCCAAAAATTACCGACGCAGACAATTTAGTTCCAATTTTAAATGTTTATTTAAGTTCATAATATTCTGATTTTGTATTGAAATACAGATATGTTTTTAAAATCGATATCTATCGATAGACAAATGAAAAAACGGTTGGTGAACAGATTTAGGTTCAAACGTAAAGTTTTTTTGCCAATGTTCATTGAATCGTTAAGCTGTATTTAAATACAGTCCGACTACCAATTTGGCCTTAAAATTGATCACTTTAATTGAAGCTACCTAGAACCGTTTCACAGGCATTAAACACCGAACTCTGGCGAATTGCGGGGCTTATTGAAAGCAAACACAAGTTGTCTGAGTTGTCTGCAGCAGCGGCCAGCAAAGCTTTAAGCCTCCCCAAACGCACCACCAAGGTCGCATTCCAAGGGGATGGCGTCTGTTTTCGGAGCGCATTGCGTATATGTCACGTTTTGCATGTTGTTTACGGCTGTTGTTTCTTTTGAAAACGCTTGAAGCCGGCATTACAGTTTTATCATGAATAGTGCAACGCATTGAATGGTATATTTCTGAAACCATAAAAACATATATTCTTGATCGATAAACCCAACACCGCTCTCCGTCTCTCTACCGGCCAGATTCGACAACTATATCATACAGATGTTATAGGTTTGATTGGTTGAAAATTAAAATCTTGCATGAAAGTATAAAAGAGCAAAACCTTTTTACTAATGGATTACTATATCATATATGTATATATGGAAAGAATTGGTGGAAAAATTGGTTTTTGCATGGTAAACTTAACTGTTTTTTAAGATTTATTAACCAAACTCAGCAATTACGAGCAAAGGTATAAAAGCTATACGAAGGTTATCAGACTGCTATAATTTAAGGCTTCTCTGGGAAGAATCTGTCGCATATAAAGTTTCTTTCAAAGCCATATACCTAAGAGAGTATTTAATCTTCATCGAGCCGATTTGTTTATTGTTTATTTTTGATTTATTGGGTCACGTGCGATTTGAGACGCGCTGATTACAAGAAGAAAAAGCGTAACTATATTTTGACATTCAAAGCGATAATAAGAGAGCGCGAGGATAAGAGGATAGTTAAAGACTAAGCAGCATGCGGCGCGTAAATATTAAATTGCATTTCGTTTTATTTTCATTTCAAAGAAAATGAAAAATACGCAAAAGTCGCATCAGATACGAGCAGAAAATTGAATTTTGTCGTGTCAAGTGGCATTGACGCTGCACACAGACCCAGACGCAGACGCAGACCAAGCCAGATCCAACGTACTGGGGCACGCACGGTAGGGTGCTGTTAAGGAGGGGGATGGGGGGAGGGGGGGGGGGGTCACGAGTAAGGGCAGGGGGCGTGCCACTTTAGTTACTACATTGGAAATTCACCACCTGCCACGCTTCAACTGCAAATAGAGCGAAGCGAATTTTATGCACTCGACTTGACGCCAAGCTCGTCAAGCTGCAGATTTCACAATATCCAGCGAGCATGTCTTGTTTGTCATTATCCAGCGATTTTCTTGTGATTTTCCAGTAATAATTATAGTGGCTTTTAGAAAATGTTGTCACAACATCTCAGCCTCGATGCTGCTCTCAAGTGCAACTCGAAGCAGTCTCTTCAATTTTATTATTTTCCATTGACATCTTTGACATATTTCGATGTCGATTATACCCTTTGTTACAAATTGATGGAGCTGAGGTAATTTTCATTCTTTTTTTTTGTTAAATTAATTTTGTGCATTGCCGTTCCATTTATGGGACTAAATTGGACTATTGAGCGGTAGAATGACTTGCCATATTTGAGGGTAGCCATATTTTTGGTTCTCATCGGTGCAATTAGAAGCTTTACAGCTATTCCAATTCTCATGCAAAACTTAATTTATTATGCTGCGCTTTCGCAAAATGGATTACAGGGACAATGTATGAATAGCTGGTTTTATATAAGTTAAAACTGCATTGGATTTTCGTGGTTAAGTCGGTCAAGCAATGATTAGTCAGCCATTAATCAATATTCAATCAGGAAATCAGCCAGTAAACTGGTCAATCATTTTGTTAGTCGTTCCAACAATCATTAGTCAGTTCTTATCAATATTCAGCCAGTAATTCTGTCAGTAATTCAGTCAGTGAATCATCAGTCAGCTTGCAATCAGTATTCATCCAGTAAATAAGTCAGTCAGTCAATCAGCCAGGAAGCTGGTCAATCACTCTGTAAGTGTGCCAGTCAATCATCAGTCAGCTATCAATCAATATTCAGTCAGTTAGTCACTCAGTCAATCAGCCAGCAAACTGGTCAATCATTTTGTAAGTCGGTCAAACAATCATTAGTCAGCTATTTATCAATAGTCAGTAATTCAGTCAGTGAATCATCAGTCAGCATGCAATCAGTATTCATCCAGTAAATAAGTCAGTCAGTCAATCAGCCAGGAAGCTGGTCAATCACTTTGTAAGTCGGCCAGTCGATCATCAGTCAGCTATCAATCAATATTCAGTTAGTTAGTCACTCAGTCAATCAGTCAGCAAACTGATCAATCACTTTGTCATTCAGGAAGTCAATCATCAGTCAGCTATCAATCAATATTCAGTCAGTTAGTCACTCAGTCAATCAGCCAGGAAGCTGGTCAATCACTTTGTAAGTCGGCCAGTCAATCATCAGTCAGATATCAACCAATATTCAGTTAGTTAGTCACTCAGTCAATCAGTCAATCTGTCAGCAAACTGATCAATCACTTTGTCATTCAGTTAGTCAATCATCAGTCAGCTATCAATCAATATACAGTCAAATAGTCACCCAGTAAATTAGCCAGCAAACTGGTCAATCATTTTGTAAGTCGGTCAAACAATCATTAGTTAGCTATTTATCAAGAGTCAGTAATTCAGTCAGTGAATCATCAGTCAGCATGCAATCAGTATTCATCCAGTAAATAAGTCAGTCAGTCAATCAGCCAGGAAGCTGGTCAATCACTTTGTAAGTCGGCCAGTCGATCATCAGTCAGCTATCAATCAATATTCAGTTAGTTAGTCACTCAGTCAATCCGTCAGCAAACTGATCCATCACTTTGTCATTCAGTTTTTTAATTGTGCAGTCGATCAGCCTGTTAATCTTTTATCTTTAATTTGTGAATCCATTAGACATCTGTCAATCACTTAGTTAGCCCATCAATCGGTCAATCAATATCATCAATAAGTTAATCAGTCTTTTAGTTCAGCAGAAGAATATAGCCTGAAATTGCTGAGTTTACAAGCTTCACTTTTCTCACATAGCTGCAGAACAGTAAGGCGAATGCCTTATTGATTGATTTTGTCAAAACATCTACAAGTCTTGTGCCTGCTATCGCTGGGGGCAATCAGCGCTTCGGCGTTTCTAACCCAATCGCCAGACTTTGGCATTGCGTAAATCTCAATGTCAGAGCTTATCAGCGGCGCGACAGCTGCTTATCAGCTGCTGCTGGCGTCAGCTGCTGCTCAGCTCAGGCCAGCTTCGCTCAGCTTAGGTTTGGGCAGTCAATTTGTAAACACGGGAGAGAAAGCCACGTTCTTTATGTGTGGCAAACAAGTGAATCAGCTCCAACTGCTGGTGCAGCTGCAGCTGCTGCTGCTGCTGCTGCTATACCTGGGCAGCCCGTGCATTTCGGGTCATGTTGTTGGCTGCGCGACTGAGGCAGCGTCGGATGCGATGGACGTGAGCAAATCGCCGTGCGAGAATTTCCATGAGCACGCCTGCGGCAACTGGCACGCCCCGTATGGACTGCGTGCGCTGGGCGCACATGATATGCGGTCAAAGCTGCGCGCGCTGAACAAGCAGCTGCTTGTGCGGCATCTGGAGGCCAGCGGTGGGAATCAGGATCAGCTGTACTCATTCTATGGCAGCTGTATGAGCGGCCGGCAGTCGCTGCACGTCTATATGGATGCAGTGCAGCAGCTGGTGCCGGATTGGCCGCTGCTCAACAATGCGACGCGCTTCGATTGGTCACGTGGCGGCGCTGCAGTGCGTCGCTTTGGCGCCCAGGGCTTGTGGCGTCTGCTGGTGCAGCCCAATTGGCAGGCGGCGGAGCAGCTAATCTTCTATCTGCTGCCGCCCAGCTTCGAGCTGTTGGGCAGCAGCGAGCAGAGCGAGTTTCTCTACCAGCGCTATCTCAAGTATCTGCTGCTCGAGCTGAGACTGCGCGTCCGACGCGCTGCCACGCTGGCCGAGCAGCTGGTGAGCTTTGAGCGGCAGCTGCGCGAACTGACGCCGCCGCCGCTGGACGAAGCCCAGACGCTGGTGCTGCATGAGCCGCAAACGTTGCAGCAGCTGGCGGCCCAGCTGCCGCAGCTACAGCTGCTCGACTACTTCCGGCTGCTGCTGGGCGAACGCTATACGCCGCAGCTGCTGCTGGTGGCGGACACGGGCTACTTGCAACGCCTGCAGCGCGTGCTGCACGCCGCGGACCCGCTCGTCCTGTCCAGCTGGCTGCTGCTGCAGCTG